GTATTACAGTTCATAATTTTTTTTTTTACATTATTAAAAATCATGATGAATTTTAAAAGCATTTCTATAGTATATAAAATAATTGAGTAGGATAATATAGTGTCCATAAATGATTACTCTGATTAAATCTTGAGAGTATACTGTTTTAGGGTAGTCATTTATGGAGACCCTGTATATCTTATTGAAACTAAAAACATCGCTAAAATTTGACTCCTTTATCATAATATGTAAATTGGGGTCGACTCATTGTGGAAAAATAGATAGTCATGTTTTCTTTGGTTGGTTCGTGTGTACTAATTCTACGTTACAATGTCTCTGATAATTCTACTAACTCGAGGATTATATCACTATCTTGACCCACACGTAGAAGTTATTTATTTTGTAGTCTCTTGTTAAGCCTCAATGTTACCTGACTCTTATTATTACAGGTGTATTTGTTATTATTTTTATTTATTTGTTAGTATTTGTTTAATTACAGAAGCTCAGTCCTGTTTACCTGAGTGTGTTGGCTTAAGTCTTTTATAGCACAGGTGTAAACAAATATTAGAGCCAATTAGCAAAATCTCAACAGGTAACTTAATGGCTTTTCATCCTGACGACAATACAGGTAGGAAGAGGTACTGTACTTCCCTCATTAACAAGTACTTAAGGTTATTAGTGTTTCGTTTTAACAGGTAAATCAGGTTTATTTATGGAACCACATTATCCTCGACTCATTTACGAAAAGCAAGTGACGCTGTAGATTTCTGAGCTGCTGCCTCGGTTAATGGTGAATAGTATAGCGTAAGTGAGGTCTTGAGATGTGTTATAACCTGAGCCTAGTGTACTGTAGTGTGTGTGTGTGTGTGTGTGTGTGTGTGTGTGTGTGTGTGTGTGTGTGTGTAAGTTTTAGTTGGGATCACATTTCAATTAGCTCCTCCCTCCCCAGTTTATTTCACCTGAAGGTCATCCATCCAAATACTAACCTACCCTACACCCCCAGGTAGTGTTACGGTGTATAATCCTTAAGTGAAATAAATTAGGGAAGTTAATCTCCAAGTGATCCCTCGAGTTGCACCGCTTTGATAGTGACAACCAGATGAGGAATGACAAGACAGTGAAGCATGAATATGTTTATTTCTCTCTCTTGAAAATGTTAAGCATGTCACTCACGTCAATGCCCCCCCCCCCAGGAGTTACAGGTGTCACTCATGTCACACTCTTGTGCAGCATCAGGAGGCACTAGTGTCACCCCCTGGGCAGTATCAGCAGGTGCCAGTGTCACTACGTAATTGGTGCAAACAACGAGACTGTCATGTGGCACCGTGTCCACTTATAGTATTGGGGGAGGGGGGGGGGAGGAGGAGTTGTTGAATACCAACACTGTTCTAATTGTCTCCAGCTTAACCATTTGGGATTGGGGCCTCGGTCTTAATGGAATTCAATTCTAATGGGTTTCAGTCGTAATGCGTCCCAATTCTAATAGATTCCAGTCCCAATAGGTCCTAGTTCTAATGGGTTAGGGAACTGCTAGGTCCTGATTCTAATGCTTCCCAGTCCTAATGGGTCTCTATTTTAATGGGTTCCAGTTTTAATGGGTTCCAGTCTCATAATTTAGGGCAGAGAATCACATTTTGTTTTCTATATGATTCATTAATGTTTATATTATGTTTATTATTTTTTTTTTATCATTAATATTTATTTTTTGTCTCACTTTAAACATTATAGTTAGACACAACAAAAGACAATTCTAAGTCTACCTGTACTGCACGTGTCGTATTACACTCAGGTCATGCGCTTGATCGTTACATTTTAGGTTCACCTGAAGATTAGGCACTCCAACTTATTTTCAATTGTAGATGAGCCACTCTAACTCTGCCTGGGGGGTTAGGTTAAGTAAATTAGGTTAAGTTAGGTTTTGGTTAAAGTTAGTTAAGGTTAGATAGGGTTAAGTTAGGTCAGGTTAGGTTAAGTTTGGTTAGGATATTGGAGGGTTAGATTAGATTATGATAGGGTAGCTTAAGTAAGGTTAGATTAGGTTAATTTAGATAGGGTGAAGTTAGGGTAGATTAAGTCAGATTAGGTTAGGAGAGCGTTAGAGTGCTTAATCTTTGGGTGAATTAAGTTGGAGTGTATAATTTTTAGCTGATCTTTTAATAACATATAATGAAAAGTTTTATTTGTCATTTTGCCAATTGGATGCCTCGCTGTGCATCCTCTTACACAACACCTACACGTCAGCCATTCAGTTAATCATCATTCCCAACCTGTATAAGGCATGAAAGGGTTGTGTGTGTGTGTGTCATTTAATTTTACACCATAATCATCTTAGCATGTTGTATACACTTATTAAAGGACATGATATAATCTTCCCCAAGTTATGATTACGTGTTATTTTATACTTACTACTGCATGTCTCTTCATCCTTGACCTCAGGCACGGTGGGGGTGGGTTGCGGGGTGCTGGGACTGGAGCCGTACCCGGAATCCGCAGACTGACAGGCACTCAGTTTCGGATCCTGTCCTGTCGAACCCGCTGTGTCCTTTGTACTTGAAGGCTTCTGTACGTTGTTACCATCTTGAGTCTCCGTCACGCCGGTGGAAGCCTCAACAGATCCTCTCGTCTTGGGTGAACCAGGAGCCGAGGTCTTAGGGCTTGGTGTTGGTGTTTTCTCAGCTCCCTGTGGTTTTGGTTTCATGAGCCGCTTGGGTTTCTCGGCTTTCTTCCTCACTGTGCTGCCGTCGTCTGAAGAGGAAGAGGAACCTGATCTAGAGCGGTTAGGTCTTTGTTTCCTGAGGGGACGTCCTCTGGTCTCCTGGGTAGTCTCGGTCTCTGCGTCTGGTTCTTTGGTCTGCACAGGCTTCTTCAAAACTTTCTTGGGTTTAATAACTTCAGGGACGGTCTCTTCTTTGTTCTCTACTTTCTCTACCTTGACCACTTTCTTGAGGACGTTTCTAGCCTGAAGAAACTGGTTGCCCTGATTTGGGGGAACTAAATGAGCAACTTCTTTTTTCCAGATCTTCTTAGCCTGAACCCCTGTAGTATTTGCTTGGTCTTGTTTGTTATTATCAGCAGGAGACGTAATTGCGTTCTGCTTGACGGGTCTCTTTAGTATATTCCGTGCCTTAAGGAGCTCATTACCGATGGGCTTCTCAGGCGCAGGAGGTGGTGCAATCTGACGAGGTCTTTTGATGGCTTTCTTCACCAGTAATGCATCCTGTGAGTCCTCCGCCTCCTTCTTCACCTCGTTATGCTTGAGAATCTGTTCTTGTTTTGCCTTAACGCTAATAACTTCTTGTTTTTCTTGCCCATCTTCCGTTATTTCTGTCTGTTTATTCTTATTATCTGCTCCTTTGTCCATCGTCGTCTTGTCTTTTGTTTCGTTTTGTCTTTGTTTTAATTCGATTAGTTTATGAGTTTCTACTTGAGCTGTTGCTTCGATTTTCCATCTCGGTATTCCAGACGGTTTAGTAGTTTTGCTTATTTCCTTCTCCTCCTCACTCTTGTTAGTTGGGGTTTGTTCTGGTAATTTTACTGTAAACGGAATCTTCTTCGTCTTATCTCTCTCCTCTTGTTTCAGCTCTTGTGGTTTCTCTCGTACTTGTTCATTAGTTTTTTCTCTTTGTATCTTCTCGTTATCTTCGCTCCTGCAGACTGTGGAGTAAATTTCTTGAGGACTCTTGACTGTGTCTGTGATATCTTTCCTACACTCCTCCGTGACGGCTTTCTCACCCTTGTGGCGCCAAGTGAAGTAAGGTGCTTCAGATATCGTACTTGTCCCTAATTCAACTGAGACGTCACTTGAAGACTTTCCTCCCGTTATTCCCTCATTTTTATCACGAGCTGAGGATTCTTCAGCTTCTCTGGCTTTCGCTTCTTTATCCAGTATTGACTTTATGATCTCAACGCCTGTCATCTTTGGTTGATGGTCGTAAGTTTGGGCTGAATTCGTCGTAGATGTTTTGCTGTTGAGGTTTTTGTTTACCTCACTCGAGACGTCTAGGTCGTGGGGGAGTTCTTGAGATTTGGAGACTTTTTCCTGAGCGGTGGACTGTCTCTCGGGGGTTGACCGTGATGGAGCACCCGCTTGAGAGAAGACCCTCAGTTGTGGGACTTCCTGAAGAGAGTCCTCCTCGATCGCTGTCTGTTTCTTGACTTTCTTCTTAATTTGGGGAATCTTTGTACTTAGGGTCTCTCTCAATTGTTCCTCTTTATCTTTAGCTTCGTTCTTTTCACCTCCTTCGCCTTCCAACGTTTTAGTTTTTACTTTAATTGCTTCTGTTTGTTCTTTTGTTGTTTTAATTTCCTCCGACGTCACACTTTTTAATACAAGTTCGTCTGACAATAGAGAATTTTTACCTTTCTTATCGAACTTTGAGATAACTTTAATTATTGTTTGTTCCTTTTCATCTTCTATTGCTTGTTCTTCATTTTCATTTGATTTCTCCTTCTTGTTATCTCTTATTGACTCTTGTTCCATTCCATCATTTATCGATTTTTGTCCACCTTTTTCAACTTGCGGTTCTTTGTTTTCCGGTTCTGTTTGGTCAGTCGTACATATGGACTTAATTTTTCTCACTTTATCATCTGGAATCTTTTTATTCAGTACAAGATCTGGTGATAGAAGTGAGCTATTCCCTTTCTTTTTCTTGAGTTTTAGGGGAAGTGTATCGTACCCTTGTGTCTTGGGACTATTTACTTCAATTTCAGACTTTGTCTTCTCTGATTCTGTTTTATCCGTTTTTATCTGTGTCTTAATTTTGGTGTTTTCTCTGTCCTCCGACGCCACACTCCTCAACACCAGATTAGCTGAGAGTAAAGAGCTTCTGTCCCGTGTGTTCGTCTTCTCGTCTAGCTTCGTGATTTTCTTCTCTTTCACGCTAATCTCTGTCTCCTCTTTCTTCCTCGTACTCTGTGTCTTGTCTATATCATTTTTTTCTTTATTTTCCTTATTGTAGATCTCATTATCCATCGTCGTTGGTGGTTGTAGAAGTTTTTCTTTTGTGTCTGTGTTGATGTCTGTCCTTGCCTCACCCGACACGAGGTCACCAGTCAAGAGCGATGTGTTTTCTCTCTCTTCTCCTTTGTCTTTTTCCGCCGCTTTATCCACAATGTCCTTATTATTCTTATCTTTACTTTTTCTTGATTTCTTTGACCTACGAGAATCTTTCACTGATGATCTCTTCTTATTCGGACACTTGACTGACTCCTGTAGTTTCACGAACCTCTTCAGTTGGCCGACGATTGCCTGTCCTTTTCCCACATCAGATGAAGCGTTGTCTTCTTCACTCGTACCTTTACCTTTGATGGAGCTCTCAGGACTCGCTGCATCTCCCTTTATCAGCTTTTCCATCTCTTCGTCAGATTCTATGTCAACATCAGGATGCAGGACGGCCGCGTAAATGGCGTCCTTCACTTCCTCCCAACTCTGAAGTTCCTTCTTAGTCTCCGCCGTTGCCGTCGCCCGCTGAAGTATCGTAGCCGCGCCTACCTCCCCCTCTCCCTCTGGTGAACATGGGACAGTTTTTATTTCTTCGGGAGCCTCTGTAGATTTCTTAGGAGAGGCCTTGGAAATTGGTGTGTCTTTCGGCACGTCACTTGAGGTGGTCTTAGAAACAGCAGAGGAACTTGGAAGTGGAGGACGACCTGTTAGTTTCGTCTCCAGAGTTTCGTCTTTGGGCGGGTCCTGGTAGAATCTTCTCTTCATGGGTTGATACCCTGATGGTTCTGGCTTCTTCTCCGCCACCTGATATTTTTCGATGAGTCTTTGGGCAATGGTATTGAGAGTTCTATTTTTGATGACGAAAGGGTCCTGTTGTTCATTCTTCTCTCTTTTGATCGTCAGACGAACAACCTGTCGATTCCTAGAGATGAGACCCTCGTTGTCCTTCGCAGGATCGGTCTTCTGCCATTTAGCATTGACGGGTTTTTCTGTCGTGTTTATGTCCCTCGTATCTATCTCCTTGGGTCGAACATCTCTACTCATGTTTATTCTTGCTAAGTATTGACTGGCGTAACTGGACTCGCGGCCATACTTTCCCGCAAACTTTCGTTCCTCCGGTAGTCTGTAGCCGGTAAGTTTGTTGTCCTTTGGCGAGCTAAGACTATAGTCGGAATACTTGGGAATGGAGTTCGTGTAAGGTGCTGTGGAAGTAACAACATCTTGTCCGTTGAAAGTCTTCCTGAGAGCAGCCGTGTTTCCGGTAAAGACGCTCGACGATGAGGGAGACTTTTTAATCCTACTGTCCTCGAGTAAACTGCTAGAGTCTGGCACATTGTCGGTAGATCTGAACCTCGACAGATTATAACCACTTCTAGATGCTGGTGTATATTTAGGGGCCAAGTAGCTAGAAGCAGGACCATCTTCAGGTATAATGTACTTGGACCTGAAGTAATTAGATGGGCTGTCGTCTGGGGTGTTGCCCGTTGTGCCTCTGGTGTCTGACGAGGAGTACTTAATGCAGTCCATCATGGGCACGTAGCTGCTGCCGCTGTTGGCCCTGGTGTAGTTGCGGTTGACATAGCCGCCCTGGCCGTAGTACGGAGACACAGGCATGGTGCCGGGTGTAAGATAAACAAGACTTAACAGAAGAACACTCGAGAGTAACTTATTTAAAGCGTCGCAGAACAGAAACAATTGTAGCACTATTTGTATCTGAACTCACTGAGAAAATGTTGAACTTGATCTATAAACACTCACACAACTTTTAATGGCTCGGAACCTCAGAGAGGACGCTAGTTAGCCCGTGAGGAGAGTGAGACACGCGGTGTACACACGCTATAGCCAACAGCTGTTTACACGTCATATGTGGGGCAGGGTGTCTTGGGCTGTAGGTGTGTTGTGACCGGTGTACAGCACGTGTTCCTCACCTGCACCGCACATGGTCAACACGTCTCTCACACCTGTCTTATTCTACTAGTACTGAACACTTAATTTCACACCTGTCGTGTTCTTCAACTATTAATAAAATAACTTCACATCTTTAGTGATTAACAAATACGTTGCGTTTTGTTCATTTAGATACAACAGAGTAACAGCACATAACACGAAGACTTAAATATGATATGTTTGCAGTATCAATAAGGGAACAATCACAGCACAACACAATATGTCTCGCCAGGACCTTCCTCGGGGCGCCAGTAAAAGTATTTTTCAATATCTGCACCACGGCACCTCCCTCCTCCTCCTCCCCCTTGCCTTCCCAGCTGCTTAAATTCCCACAGTCATTTCCCTCACTCAGGCAACCAATTACTCTCGCTAATATGCTCTTAATTGTAGCGCTGCCTATTCCTCCAGTCACTATTTTTCTTCCTTTTTCGTCACTTCTTTCTTATTTCGCCACTTATATTTATTATTTATCACTTTGTTTCTTGTTTTATTTTATTGCAGGAGGTATTAGCTGAGGTGTATAGAGGGAGAGAAAGGCGCCTTATCCTTGTATACTTGGCACAGGAGGGGCCGCCCTACCCTCACACCACCACGTCCAGATACTATATGCCCACACACCGTCCCCTCAACCTTCAGGGCACACACACACACACACACCTCGCTGTTGCTCACGCCCACACGCCCGTTCCTCTGACACCTTAGTAGTCTGGCAAGCGAATCGGTGGTGCCAGTTGGAGGGTAGAGGGGCGAGGGTAGGTGGTTGGAGGATGCCAGTGAGGAAGGGAGGGATGGTTGATAGTGCTAGGGAGGAGGTGGAGGGAAGGAGAGAGGGTACCAGAGACTGAGGGAAGGAGGGAGGGTAACAGAGAGGATGTGGAGGGGGGGAAGGGTTGGAGGGAGGGAAAAATGAAGGTATTAAGGAGGAGAAAGAAAGGGAAGGGAGGGCAAGGAAGGAGGGAGGGAGGAGGGAGAGTGGTGTTTGGAAGAGAAAGGGAGGGTGAGGGTAGGAGGTTGATTGAGGGGGAGGAAGATAAAATGTGGAGGGGCAAGGGTATGTGATTAGGAACGGGAGCAAGGGGGTCGTCGGTAGGACAGGTCTTGGCACCGGTTGAGTTGGACACACGAGAATTCTTGCGGGTGTTGGTGCCAGAAGATTAAAATAGTCCCGGGATGTGACAGGTGAGAGAATACGAGGCAGTCGAGTGGGCTGATGGGGCGTGGAGTGGGATGGTGGGTGGTGGAGTAGGCTGGTGGGTTGTAGATTGTGTTGGCAGATTGTGGAGTGGGTAGGTGGGTTGTGGAGTGGGCTGGTTGGTAGGTTATGGAGTGGGCTGATGGATTGTGGAGTAGGCTGATGGGGCGTGGAGTGGGCTGGTGGATTGTGGAGTGGGTAGGTGAGTTGTGGAGTGAACTGGTGGGGTTGTGGGAGTGGTGGGTAGTGGGTAGGTGGGTTGTGGAGTGGGTAGGTGGGGTTGTGGAGTGAACTGGTGGGGTGGGGAGTGGGTGGTGGGTTGTGGAGTGGGTAGGTGGGTTGTGGAGTGGGTAGGTGGGTTGTGGAGTGGGTAGGTGGGTTGTGGAGTGGGTAGGTGGGTTGTGGAGTGGGCTGGTGGGTTGTGGAGTTAACTTGTGGGTTGTGGATTGGACTTGGTGGGGCGTGGAGTGGTTTGGTGGATTGTGATGTGGGTTGGAGGGACGTGGAGTGGTTTGTGGAGTTTGTTGGTGAATTGTGGAGTGAACTATTGCATTGTGGAGTGGGGTAAGATAGGTTAGAACCTGTTATAACCAGATCGCACTTGACCAGCTCTCAGAAAGTCAGTGGAGGGGAGGAAGGGGGCATGGCCTGCAGTGTGAGGGGAGGGGAGGGGGGCATGGCCTGCAGTGTGAGGAGGCATAGCCTGCGGTGTGAGGGGAGGGGGCATGGCCTGCAGTGTGAGGGGAGGGGGGCATGGCCTGCAGTGTGAGGGGAGGGGGGCATGGCCTGCAGTGTGAGGGGAGGGGGGCATGGCCTGCAGTATCCATTATAAACATCGTTGTAATTTATCTAAACATTCAACATCTAGCCTCGGAGTTTCATACCCTAGAGTCTTGGTATAATTTCGCCGCCATTTTGCATACTTCCTTGAGTTGTGTGTTAGCAAAAGAACCTGTTGAGTCGTGTTACAGTTGAGTCTTTTTTTTCTCGTTAGGTGAGGTGAGGTGAGGTGAGGTGAGGTTAGACTAGGTAAGGTATGAGAATTGAGGATTTTGAGTTGTTAAATGTTGTTGCTGTGTTAAAAGTATCTTCAATAAATACTTTAAGATATACAAATTACATTAACAAAATCTAAAAAAAAATAAAAAATTTATATTGCTGACTGAAGACCGAATAATTTAGCGATGTATTTTTTGTGAAGAAATTTTCAGGTGTTTAAAAGTTGATTATTTAAGATATTTAAAGAAGTTTGTGGTATTGTGAAGGTGAAGGTGTGATGTTTTTATGGTAAGAGTGTGGTGATGTAGTGGTGAGCGTGTGGTGGTGTAACGGTAAGCACGTGGTGGTGAGAGTGTATGGTGTTGTGGTGGTATGGTGATGTGGTGGTGGTGTGGTGGTGGTGATGGGTGTGGTGGTGGGTGTCGTGCTGTGGTGGTGGGTGTCGTGCTGTGGTGGTGGGTGCCGTGTTGTGGTGGTGGGTGTGTAATGAGAGTGCCACGCAATACCCTGACAGTGCCTTCTGGGTTGATGCCAGGAGGGGGAGGTGAGGGGGTGGGTGGGTTTGAAGGACAGGGAGAGAAAGAGGGAAAGAATTGAAAGGAAGAGAAGGAAATAACGATGGAGAGAGAGAAATAATAATAATAATAATAATAATAATAATAATAATAATAATAATAATAATAATAATAATAATAATAATAATAATAATAATAACAAAGATGATAGTACATTATTTACAACCTTCATCTCGTCTTGGTGAATCTCAATGGGTTACTCGCTAGCATGTGCAAGCCCTGGGTACTGACACACTGATGTACTGATTGACATATTGACTACTTGGCTTCGATGTGGAGGGGGGGGGTGTTTTGCCAGTGTAGGAGGTGTGGATGTTGTGAGGTAGGGGAAGGAGGGAGGATGGATGTTATGAGGGAGGGGGAAAGATGGAATGGGTAGATGATGAGGGTAGAAGGAGGGGGAAGTGGAGGTAGGATAGATGGAATCTGGAAAGGGGAAGGAAAGGGAGTGTATTTATGTTACACTGGAGAAAAAAAGTAATACCGTGTTGAACTTTTCCTTGTATTACCGCTACAAAAAATACAGATGGAAGTATATTTTTGTATTATACTGTAGTAATATACCGTTGGATTTTGTTCATTATTTTTTGGGGGGTGTTAATACTCCATAAAGATAACAGGGTAGTAGTTTGTCCTGAGTTACAGTATAGGACAATATTGAAGAACTTGTTTTCCTGTATTCAGCTTGAGAAATACAGTGAAGGAATTTTAACTAAGTAAGCACAGGAGTTTGTTGATGGGTTACAGTGAAAAAGTTTGTATTCCGATATTTGAGTTCAGTGAAATACAGTGACGCCCATCCACCCCCCCTCCTCCTCTCCTCCCCACCCAACCATCATCACAACTCACAATGGTAGCTGATACTCCCCTACCCCCAGTAAAGCCAGTGCATCACAACAGACACTATACCAAGCCAGTGCATCACAATCAACAGAGCAGCAACGAGCCAGCCACCAGCAAAACGTCCGGAGAGATAAACATAGATGGACTCCAGGAATAGTTCTCCTCATCGTATGTCATCTTGAGGGGACGAAAAAAAAAATTAAATCTCGACCAAAAATAAAAATAAAATAAAATAAACCCACATTCACATTTTTGTTCTTCTTATTTTTGTTGTTGTTGTTGTTAGTATTTTTTTGGGAGGAGGGGTGGGGGGGGGGATGGCAGTATGTAAAGAATAAGTAACTTCCTCCTATGTTTTCCACCAGAAGCAGAACCGTGTACATGCTTGAGTACCCCACAAATATTATAATGTTAGATCCTTAGTAAAGTTTTTCAATGCTGAGTGTAAAAAATAAATAAAAATAAAAAAAAATTACAAATCTCATCATCGTAGATATTTGCAGGTCCTTTATAATATTGGTTTATGGTTGTTTTAAGGCGTTATAGTGATGTATTGTTTAACCTCTCTCAATGGTGTCAAATAGAAGTCGAATTAGTACACGAGAGGTAAGATTATAAGAGGTTGAGAGAGAAGATTAGAAGCAATGAATAATATAACACCAAGAACGTCAACCAAATCAACCAACCACCACAACTACCACCAACCAAACACCACCAACCAAACACCACCAACCAACCACTCCCACCATTACCCCAACCAACCACCATCACCACCATTACCACAACCAACCACTACCACCATCACCACTACCAACGCCAAATAACACACACACTTCCCAGCAGAAATGAAACAGTGCACACGTTAGCATTCTGTGAGACCCGGTAAGGAAAGTCACGTAGCCCCTCTTGGCGTCCACCTCTGACCCGGGTTTGGTAATGATCTTTTGTTCCGTCTTGTGCTGTAAACGACCGACCTCCTTAGCTGTTTTCGTTTCAGTTTTCTTTTTTCTTGGATTAGTATTATTAAGGGTGGAGCAATTTTTTTTGGGTGGGGTGGGAAATGTGAAGCCCCCAGACGAATTATGGTTGATTTGATTGTTTTCTGCTCTGTGTGTGTGTGTGTGTGTGTGTGTGTGTGTGTGTGTGTGTGTGTGTGAGAACCTTTACTCTCAGACAACTTTGTGATATATCAACTAGCGAGAATTTTGTATTATATACCTGGAGAACTTTTGTATTTTGATCTCTCTCTCTCTGTCTGCCTGTCTGTCTGTCTGCTGTGTTATATTGACTGTATATCTGACTTTCTCTAACCTTTTCCCACCCTTTAAACATTCTTTGACCTTGATATTTGAATGAGGTCTCAGGTCAACCTCAAAGGTGTAATAGTTGCCCCCACTACCGTCTCCCCACCACCATCCCTACCACCCCCACCACAACCACTTCATCCCAGCACTATCACCCCACTACCATCCCTCTTTACCACCCCCAATTCTCCCTACCACTACCCCACTATCACCCCACCACCATCCCCACCACCCCACCTCCCACCACTACCCCACTATCACCCCACCACCATCCCTACCACCCCACCTCCTACCACTACCCCACTACCACCCCACCACCATCCCTATCCTACCTCCAGCACCACCATCCCTACCACCCCACAACCTCCACCTCCCCCATCACCTGCACCTCCCCATCACCTCCACCTCCCCATCACCTGCACCTCCTCCCCCAGGTATCACCACCAGGAACAATGACATTCGGTATTCGACTTTAGAGTCTAGTTTCCCGATGCGATAAAACGTGATTGACGACCTTGAGGCTGTTACACTCTACCAGCGACTATAACACTATCTTCTGGGTGAGGTTGTAGATGGGTGTGTGGTTGTGGGAGAGCTTGGTTGTAGACGGAATAGTTGTAGATAGGTTGTGGTAGGTGTAGGATCAATGGGTGGTGGTTGAGGGATAGTTGTAGATGAATGGTTGTTGGTGGATAGTTATAGATGCCATGTTGTGCATT